TTCTTCTGAAAGATGACTAAAGGGACTTGGAGGCAGGGGAATGTTTCTTACCTGCTTTGTCACCAGACTTCTTTCTGCCCCCAGATTCAAGGTTTAGAGATGACTTGAGTATCCCTGTAGGCTTGGATCACTATGTGGATGATCTCTTCAGCCCTGTGCTACATCAGGGCTCCAGAGTATCTGTAAGTCCCCTGATATTCCCTCCTGCCTTCTGTCTGCAGCTTTCCTGTCCCTGTGAGTCCTTTGAGCTTTTCCTGCATATTCACTGCCCCTGTTCAGCTCAGACATGCCTTTGAATGTCTGTCCCTCTGGGAAGTCTGTCTCTCTGAGCTCAGATAACTGTTTCGGATTTATTTTGATGCAGGATATGGAGAACAGAGAGATTCTCACCAGACGCATGAAAGGAGGTGGCAAGATTGGACCCACACAGAGAGGAATCCTTCCCTCTACAGGTCTGTAAGGGCATGGGGACAGCTGGGAACACCTGGGACCACAGCACCTTCAGTGAGCACAAGTCAGGGAGCCCCTTAAATGCTAATTATTGCATGTTCAGCTGGTTCATGCAGAGCACTGGGCTCTAGCATAGGTTGCACTCCTCACTCCCAGGTGAGACAGATGCTTTGGAGAAGGTGTTAGATAAGGGAACAACTTAGTTGGGCTTTTAATTTCTCTTTTGATCTGGTCTTGGAGTCAAGGCAGCAGGTAGCTTGTTTCTGACCCAGCCAACCTCTTCCCTAGACCAATACTTGTAAGTCATTCTATTCACCCATGCTTTCACAGAGCAGTTGGTGCCTTTATTGGGGCTGGTTTTAATCCCACTTATTACCTTCTTACAGAACTTCCCATCATTGGTAACTGTTCCTTGGGTTAGTAAGTCTGAACCCTGAAGAGGTTCTGGTTTGTGTGTTTGGTTTCTTTATTTCTCCTCATTTCTGTGGAGTTAAGACTGTGGCATTTGCAGCAGGGTGGAGTCAAGCACCAATATATTAATGGCACTGACAAATCTGCGTGGGTAGGAACACACCCAGCAGTCTCAGAAAGGTGGGGAATGTCCAGTTCAGTCATTCCTGAGACAGGGACTACTTCTGGCTGTTGGAGAGGCTCTGGGGCATGATGAGCCCTTTTACAAATCACTGGCCTGAGGCCACTTTGTCACTTATGTGTGTTCTTAGATGAGTGAGGTGTATGATGATCTTCCCATGGCATCCCAGGGCTATTCTCACTGGTGAGGACATCATGATTCAGAAGATTTGTGCTGTGTGCTGGCTCCTCCCAGCCCAGTCTGACCCTCACACCCCTTGTTCTGCTGGCTTCAAACTCAGCAGGGTTTGTTCCTGACCCCATCTGGGACTTGACTGCTGAGAGCAGAGGAATTCCTTTCTCCCCACAGCTCCTCCCCATGACACACAACACCATCCAGGCCAGGACTCATTGTTCATCCAGCCTTGCCACCCACTGCAAAGAGACCAATATGGACGTGACAGTCCCAGCCCCAGAGATCTTTGCCCAGTTCTCAAGAGAAACCATCTGTGATCTACACAGGCAGGAATTATTTATCAGTTTATTATTTATCAGTTTAATCATGAAGAATGGTGGTGTCCTAAGCTAGGCTGCAGAAACAGAGTCTGGATACTGCTATTTAAAATCTGGCAGGCCACACATTTTTCTTATGTTTTCTTTTTCCACCTGAGTTTTGCTGTGTCCTGCTGTGGTTGGTGCATGTGGAGAACACCAGAGGTGTTCTCTGGGGTTGCTCAGGATAGTCTCATTTGGGATTCTCCAAAGCATTGTGCACTTTGGTGTTTTGCCTCTAGGCTTCTCTGGAATGACTCAAACACCAGTTTACCAGCCTGTGCCCTCCATGGTGGGGATGCCAGCAGCCATGCCCATGATGCCAGGGGCTGGTGGGGTTGCACCTATGCCAGGTAACAGCAGTGTTTCTGTAACTGCAGAGGAGAGGGGGTGGAAGAGGGGCTGTCAGTGAAGCCTGTGCATTTCATTGTCAGGTGCGGGGCTCAGTGAACACTCCAGGCTGATGCTCAGACTTTGTAAGATGTAGGATTTTAAAGATGTGTGTGT